TGCCTGGCTGGAAGGGGCTGAGCTCGAGTCTTCACATTGTGTTGGCTGCTTGGTACATGAGCTTGTATCTGGCTCAAAGTTCTGGGTTATGCTGGGGTCAGCGATGAGCGCCCCGACCGCTACCACGATGTTGTACAGGGCCAAGAAGTGCCTGAGGTCCTTGTTCGTTTCAAGTGGTGTCTGTACACCCCATATGACCTCCTCGCATCTTGCTGTAAACCCAATGGGATCAAGCATGGGGTGGATGTGATGCAGATTGCTCATATATACACGGACGTATTCTCGCTCTAACCCCTTCTTAGAAGCCTGTAGAGGACTATCGGGGACGGGGTTTCCCTTGGTGGTGACGTGAGCAGACGACTGGAGATTGCTGGTGCTCTCTCTACCGGCGCTATGTTTGGGAGTGGATGTGTGGCCGTCATGGTGCATTAATTCCGTATGACTTTCGTTTCTAGTGTGGCCCGGAGCAGGAGGAGCCTCCGCAGAAACGCCTTGTTGATTTTCTGCAACATGTGGTGTTTTTGGCCTCGACGGCGGCTCCAGCGATTCTTCATTTGAAAGAAGGTTGACAATGGAAACCGGTGATGGAGCAGTGAGACCAGGTCCCGAAACAATGCCTCCAGATGTCCATGGGCTACTCTGATCCCGAAAGGAGGACGGCTCGCTGGCCCTGCCGCTGGCGGGAGAGAGATATGACGTCTCTTTGAGGCCGCCGGAGTTGGGATGCCCAGGGAGATGCTGCTGAGCATACGCAAAGAATTGATTGAGAAGCACAAAGTTAGACGACGTGCCGTAAAACTCGGTTCCGTGAGTGTGCTGGTTGACGTGGCCTACTACATCGGCATTGTTCGATGGTAGCGGATGCTGCGCAAAGGCTTTGGCCGAATATGAGCAACATTTCGTCTAGGTAGCTTTGGTGAGAGGGAAGAGGCTTGAACTCACCTACACGGTCTGATTCTTCAGAGTGTTCCAAGGTCTGGCTCCCCCTCGGCGGCTCATCTCTGCCATCCCGAGCAGACGGGAGGGTTGGCAAACGACGTTGCGGGCTTTCCGCACCCCGTCGGTCCAAACTTGGGACACGGCTATTTCTACTCCTAAGATTTCGTCTTCGAAGTCCATACGTGCACTCCTCGAGGTGCTTGATGCAGTTGGCGCACGGCTGTCTCTGGTCACACCTGGCCTTCTTAGCACGACATCGCTGACACGCGTGCGACGCGCGCGGCAGGTTACGCGGGCCGGGCAGAGGCGGATTTGGCTCATCCATTCCTGGACGTGATGATGCAGCAGAAGGCAGATGTTGACGGCATTCCTTCACGTGTGGTTGAATCCCGATTGATAAGCCAGGATGGCGAGGTGGCCGGAAATCTTCGGTCCTCTTTTGCCTCCCAGAGTCCGGTTGGAGATGCGCCCACTCACTTCCCTGGCAATCCATTATGGAGCAATTTGTAATTCCCCCGCCTCCGAAAGAAGCTAGAGGGTCATGACCGATGCAACAGCCCTTGATGACATTGGTTGACGTTTGGTGGCGTCAGGGTTTCATCCGGGGCCCCAACTTCCGGCCGGATAAGTCGTCAAATATCCCAGCCGGAAGCCGGAAGTTGATGAAAGAACGGGCGGAAAGCGCAAGAATAGCTCTCTTTTTAAGTTTTCAAGTGAGTTCTTCTTGTCATCGATTTTCCTTTGTTCTTTCTTCTATACTTTAACGACTCCGAATCCAATTCTCAGCCCGGCTGCAAAGTCTGATTTGCTCAATTGCGAAACGGCGTCGAATACAGGCCTTGACGAGAATCACATCCAGTTCGCAGAATGCCCGTCTTCCAAGAAACTTCAACCGCCGCAAGAGATCTCAGAATCTTGCCGTCGCGTGCCCCTCCGCTGCCAAGACTTTCTCACAAGCGCGACGACAGTGCAAGCTCCGAGGGCAATCATGAGGTGGTAGTTATAGGTGTAAGCAACATACTTCCGACAAAACACTCGCATTGGCCACTTACAAACCGATACTAGGCTGGGCCGAGCGGTCTTTTCCTGACCCTGTTACTCGCCAGGTATGGAATCACAGACTCTTCGCTTGTCTGCCTAGACTCCAAGCCGGGGACATTAAAGGCCGGCCAGGCGGACGGCCTGCAGCCCCGGACGTTGGAGGTGCTCCAGAGTCTCGGGATAGCGGACGAAGTAATCAGCGAGGGGTGCCATATGGAGGAGGTGGCGTTTTGGAACCCGGTGGAAGCAGTCGCGCAAAGCAATGGCAGCGGCGTTCAAGTCGCCAAGGGCATAGAGCGAACCAGCTTCGTCCCTGATGTCAGTGTGCCTGCGCGCTTCCCTTTCGAAGTCACCATTCACCAAGGGCGCATCGAACGTATTCTCCAAGAGAACCTGGATCTTTATGCGCCGAACAACACAATCCGAAGGTCGCATCGCTTCCTCGAGTACACATTCGATGACAGCCAGCCCGACTTCCCCATCCTGGTCAAGTATGAATATGACCTCGCGGATGGGACGACGCAACAGGGCACCCTTCGAACAAAGTACCTCGTAGGAGCAGACGGTGCCCGCTCACTTGTGCGAAAGTGCATGGGTCTCCAACTCCAGGGCGAGACGACGGATCACATCTGGGGGGTGTGCGACTTTGTTGTCGACACCGACTTTCCCGACATTCGCAAACGGTGTGCGGTTCACTCGGACGCAGGCTCCGTCATGGTGATTCCTCGAGAGCGAATCGCCACTGGTGACTATCTCACTCGCCTCTACGTCCAGGTACCCGGGGAGGTTGCCCAGGATCGAGACTGTGAAACGGACAAGAAATCAGCCGACAAGAAGAGACGTGGCGCCGTCACCTTGGAGTACATCTTTGAGCAGGCGCAGGCCGTTTTTGCACCATACAAAATTGACATCAAGCAAGGTACAGCGCCCGACTGGTGGGCCGCATATCAGATCGGCCAGCGCATGACGCCCAAGTTCTCTGCCCGAGCCAACGATGGCGTGGACAGAGTGTTCATCGTGGGAGACGGTACGTCGAACCCGTATACTTTATGTCTATGACAAATGCTGACCTGGAAAAGCTTGCCACACGCACAGTCCGAAAGCCGGGCAGGGCATGAACGTGTCCATGATGGACTCTTACAACCTGGCTTGGAAGCTTGCCCACAGCCTGCACGGACTGACGCCTCGTGTGCCTTCTGGCGCAGCAGACGCTGTTCTAGAGACCTTTGAAGAGGAGCGGGTGGATATCGCTCGTCAGCTCATTGAGTTTGACACGCAGTTTTCTCACATGTTTTCCGGGCAGATTGGCCCGGCGGACGCCGAAGCCGCGGGCCTCACGCACGACGAGTTTCTCCGTGTTTTCAGTGAAGGAAATGGCTTCACTAGCGGTTGCGGTCTTCACTACAAACCCAACAGGCTTGTGAGAGTACCTGTCGATACTGCCGGGGAGGTTTCTCAGGCGGATTCGCTCTGTGGCGCGTTGACGCCCGGCAGGCGGCTGCTCGATGTCCAGGTGAAGCGTTATGCGGATGCCAACACTCGACACCTTCAAGATGGTATGCTCTTTACGGGTTTCACTCGGTGCAGGATGGACATGAGCTGACTTTACTTGTAGAAATGCCGTCAACGGGCCGCTACCATGTGCTCTTGTTTGCGAGCAACGACCTTCTTGACAAGTGCGGTGCTTCTCAATCAGCTATAGTATCGTCCATTGATATAATCCACAAGTTCCCGGCGGGCGCCATCAATCTCGTACTGCTCCATCCATTGACGGAGCGATTCGAGTGGGCAGATTTGCCTCCCAGCGTCAAGACATTTGCCGAGATGCGGACATATGGATTGGCCAAGAACGAGGATGCGTACAAGGTGTTTGACGTGCCCAAGGGTGAGGGAATTATTGCAATAATCAGGCCTGACGGCTACGTTGGCATGCTGGCGCCACTGTCGAATCCTAAACTGGTAGAGGATTATTTCCATGGTTGTTTAGTTAGCATTTAAATTCTCCTTCTGCATCTTGTAATAATACAAAAGCCGTGTTTCTGCAGGTACATAACACCGTGATGCCAACGAACGAGTTGTCCTAAGGGTAGGCAAAGCGGCGGTGGCCAGGGAAGAATATGTCTGGTATTATTCCGGCCTTTATTAGCCCGCCGAAATTGAAAGCTGCTGCTGAATTTGGGCTCGTTGAAGCCGTTCAAGCTGTTGTTTTTCTCGCAGTGGCCTGCAGCTGGCTTGGACATCAACACCAAATTGTGAGGTTCGCGATGCTGCACACGTGCCTGGCGTAAGCCACATTTTCCCATTAACCAGTTGCCGATAAGTACAAATGTATTTCTTTATTAACCAATCAGAGCCTGGTGGACACCTGTATTACATATTACATGAAAGATATCAAGCGGAAAGTTACGCTCCCTAGCTTTTGCCCGCGTTCCGCCCATGTAAGCGATGACGCAAAAGGTAGGCAACGCGCCGCTTTGCCTACCAATGAGTTTCATCACCGTGGCCTATCAAGTACTTCGCATCCTACTAGGCATGCGGTTTGCCAAGCACAGATCTGAACGTACATGCACGGAAATCTGCGGCTCAAAAGCTGATTGGGCACAAAGCCCGTGAATCAGGCTGCATGGATAGGATCAAAGCGTTGACCCGGGCCGTCGTGCACAGACACGCCAATAGCGGCTCTCATAGTCAGCCATGTTGAACAATCCTGGCAATTTCGGATGCGTATTCCGAAAGATTGACAGGATCCGGGCCTCGGCTCCGTCCCCGGCTCTTGCTCTCAGCCACCTCCGGAAGTATTCCAAGTCCGGGGTACCCCAGATTCAGTCCCCAACTGCCGCAAGGAGCGCCGGATCATGAAAGTGTTCTTCTGAATCCTCCGAGGTCCCATATATCTAGTCCAAGTTCTCTCCTGAAGGGTCTTGATTCACCCGGTGATTCATCTATACCAGGTCGTTCCTGTTTATCGCGAAAGCAACCCGTTGTCTACGCCAACTGCAAATCATCTCTTATTCAACGCCATGGACCGCCTCAAGGAGGTCACAGATACATCAACAGCCGAAAATGAGTTCGTAGACAACCCCAATTCGACCTCGGACCTCCACGAGTTCAAAGAATCAGAAGGCTACGTGACCAGGACGGACACCGAACACCGCGGAAACCTCAAGACCGCCAACAACGGGCACACCATTTTAATTCCCCAACCGTCCGAGGATCCCCATGACCCCCTGAACTGGAGCCCGGTCAAGAAGCATGTGATTCTCTTCATTATCAGTTTCGCCGCCTTCCTCCCCGACTACGGCAGCGCAACAGGCGCCGTTACTCTCATCCCGCAGGCCGAGTAAGCAAATATTCAAGCCATTGACTTCTAACAGCGCCCTGTTTCCCACTACTAATCCCGTTTCCAGAATCTGGAACATGAGCCCAGATACAGTCAACCACTCGCAAGTCGGCAACGTCTTCATGCTCGGCGCAGGGGGCATCTTCGTCGTCGCCCTCTCCGCGTGGGCAGGCCGTCTCCCCATCCTCTTTTATTTTCTCGTCCTCGCCGCCGCAACAGCCGCATGGTGCGCCGCCGCCACGACGTTCGAGTCCTTCATGGCCGCCCGCATCCTCAACGGCTTCTTCAGCACCGTCGCCCAGGGCGGAGGGCTCATGTTCATCTTTGACATGTTCTTCTTCCACGAGCGCGCCCGCAAGATCAACATCTGGGCCGTGTTTATCATCCTGTCTCCGTACATGGGGCCTCTGCTCGCTGCCTTTATGATAACTAGCCTTTCGTGGCAGATTCCCTTCTGGGTGTACTTTGTCGAGGTGCGCATCCCCAAGGTGGCAATCACGTTCGAAGCTGACAGAAACTGGCAGACTGCGCTCGCTCTGATCCTTACTATTCTTTTCGTAGAGGAGACGTATTATGACCGCCGTATCGCGCCAGAGAATCAGCCGCCCCGGGGTTCACGCATAGCACGGTTGACGGGCATCGCGCAGTATCCATCGCGCCACTTGCGCAATAGCTTTGGCCAGGCGTGCATGCGCCCGATTCGCGTTATTCTCAAGCCGACTGTGTTTTTGTCCTCGCTGTACTATTTGCTGACGTTTGCTTGGGTCGTCGGCATCAACACCACCTTGTCCATATTTCTTACGCCCCTGTACAACTTTGGCCCGAAGCAGATTGGCTTCTTTTACTTTACGCCCATTGTCGCGGCGCTCTTGGGCGAAATCACCGGCCACTGGCTGCACGATGGCATTGCGCGGCAGTACATCACGTCGCATGCTGGGCACTTTGAGCCCGAGATTAGACTCCGCGCCATATGGTTCAGCACGCCGTTTATGCTGGCTGGCCTGGTGGGACTGGGGTTCGCTCTCGAGGACGCATTTCACTACATGGTCACGGCTGTGTTCTGGGGACTGTACGTCTTTGGCATCATGGTGTCCACGGTGGCCTTGAATGCGTATAATCTGGACAGCTACCCGGAAGCTTCGGGGGAGGTATCTGCCTGGATCAACTTTGCTCGTAGTGAGTTCAAGTCATATTCAGTCAGTCTACGGTTTCTTCTCACTAACACGTTGTAGCTGCTGGCGGGTTCATCATAAGTTACTTTCAGGTCAATTGGGCCCATTCGGTGGGAGCAAAAGTTAGCTTCGGCACCCAGGCTGGAATCTGCCTTTTTGCATTCTTGATCATTGTCTTGTTACAGGTGTATGGAAAGGCGATACGGATCAAGAGCGGGGCTCTTCATTTTCCTACTGCTTGAAGCGTCTGGTGGTAATTTCATGATACACGGATTTGGGGTAAGGTGGTTTAACTGAGTAGTTTCACCAGTGTGTGCCGTAACGATACTAGACATTTTCTGACATTGAGTTGCTGCATCTTGATAACAAGTACCCAGAGTGACTGCTTATAGGCTACAATTTAGTTGGCCGTGGGCACCTGTGGTTGAGTCTCTTCGCTCCACGACTCAACCGCCAAGTCCGATCAACTGTCGTGGCAGGCGTATTTCCAGAGTGAGGAAGAGTCCAGCATAACTCCTACAACATGAGTCCGCAAGCTATTCTTCATGTCTATTCTGGAAGAGGCAGCGCACCTTACCTGCCTGTATATTAGGTCCAGCAGTCACGCAAGCCCCAATTATGAATTCACGACGGTCGCGTTATTGATTTGTTTGTTTATTTGCCCCAGTTACTAGGAGCTGAATTTGATAGAACCTCCACTTCCACATCGAGCGGAAAACCCTTTGAATGGGAAGAAAAACCGCTCGCCGCTGCTCTCACCGTCTCCCACTTTAGCATCCATGCATAAGCTCTAGCAGCCTATTTCATATGATGCAATCTCAAGTCAACACCTTGTCAGGGTGTCCAGCTAAATGTGGTTTTAATAAAGGTTGTTTCCGTGTTCCCTACTCCCACTACAGGGTACAACCGCCCCTGGAGGCCTTTAAACCTAAGACCTATTATGTCGACTTAGTAACCATTTCACATCCTAAAGACGATTCCTCTTACCGAGAAATTTTCCGTTCCTTGTGAAAAAGGCAGTACCCTCGGTCTGGTTGATGTGGCAGCCTATCACATCTCCCGTGCCACATGCATGTCGCATCCGACGCATCGACAATTCATGACGTGTGCGGGGACCAAGTCCGGTACGACTACCATTGATGTGACAGCACCAAGAATTTGTTTTCAACCGCGAGCTGTCGTTGTCGTGTAGCACATGCTCGTGTCCAATGCCAATAAAGATCCTTGAATACCGTGTAAGCAGGGCTTTGCCGTCGGGAATCACCGAGTTCAAAAGACGTAACTTACTGGTTTAGTGTTGCGCCTACGAGATGAACTTCGAACTTGAATTTGCCGGAGGGCGGAATGGGGTGGTCCGCGCGAAGCTGTTGCCCATTCTCAAGTCGAAGGTTGGGAAAAACTAAAGAACAGGGCGAAATAATACGTCAGCTGCTACTCAACCCATGGTAGTCCGACAGAGGGCGTGCTTGTAGAAACAGACATACTTGGGCCAGGAAATCCCCAAGCATCTTCGGGGGCTCCCTCAACATCTACTTCATCCTGCTTGCACCAACCCAAAGGCTGCTTTAGGTCCGTGTCTGAGTTCCTGATCACATGTTCTCGTTTGTATTCCGGTTCCATAAGGACGTGTTTCAGACACTCGAGAGACCAATTGTGTTTATCCAGCAAGATTTCGTCGTGTGGCGTCTGCAAGGCAATTTCTATGAGGTAAAGGTTTTCCGTCTCCATCGCCAGTTTGAATAAGTCGCCGAATTCAAGGTCACGGTATATTCCATTTTGGATCAGCACTTCCATGATTTTATCTTCTTCAAACCCAGCTGCACGTTGGAGCATGTCTTTCGCACTCATGGACCGCTGCAGTTCCGGCCTTTTGAGCAAGGTCTCAACAATCACCGCTTGCTGTCTGAAAATCGCGTGGCAGAGAGGTGTATAGCTGTTCTCATCCTTCTCATTGACATCCGCACCCTCAATGTCGATTAGCGCCATGAAGGCTTCCTGTGTGCCTTGAGCTGCCGCGAGAAGGAGAGGGCTTCTGTTCTGGGCATCCTTCGTGTGGGCTGACTTGTTCAACTCCAAGACCCTCGATAACACAGCTTTGAAGATTTCGGGCCGCGCGCAAATCGCTTCATGGAACGGTGTCTTGCCTGAGCTCGTCGCTGCCAGCGGATCCGCCCCAGAACGTAGGAGCTGTTCCGATACCTCTTGATGGCCACGGGATACCGCAAGAATGAGCGGTGTTTCCTTGTCCTTCGTTTTCGAATCTACCGTGGCACCGGCCTCGAGAAGAATCTTACAAATTCCAACATTTCCACGCCTCGCGGCCTTGTGCAAGGGCGTGGATGTTGATTCGTAGGTGATATTGACGTTTGCACCTCGGCCCACGAGCAGCGAGACAACCTTGACGAACCCTTCGGATACAGCTATTCTTAGGGAACTATCCACTAGCGATCCATCGATGTCATTATCCAGAAAGAAGGTCATGATGCTACTGCCCTTCATATTTTCCATACATCTTGACGCAGCCGTCAAGGTTTGAGCGTCGATGGCGGATTTGCGCCCCGAGGCAAGCATCTTGACAACTTCCAGATGCCCGTTCCCAGCTGCGTATGAAATAGCGGAGTGACCAAATGTGTCTTGGCAATCCTGGTCAATGTTGGGGACCCTCAAGAGTCGCTCGACCACCCGAGAGCACCCCGATTCAGCCGCATACATGAGAGCTGTCTTTTCCATCGTGTCCATGTAGTTCGGATCCTGCCCTTGAAGCAGGACTTGGTCAACGACGCTGACAATTCCCCCTTTTGCGGCCAGATGCAGGGTGATTCCGTACTGCGAAGGAGTCCACTGGTTAGGAAGACTTGTAAGATTGGCCAGTACCATAGCACAGTTTTCCCTAGGGCCAATCTCGACGGCAATATCAGTTTCCTCGGCCACAGGAAGATTATGCGGGAAGTATGATAGCATCTCTTGAACAAACTGAAAAATATCCCCACCGAAATGTAATGTATCTCCGTCATCTCCCTCGATACCTTTGCGGGATTCTTGGATGAGAAATGTCACCACATTCGCATGGCCATGTCGGGAGGCAAGGTACAGCACGTCGTGGCCCGAGCCATCCACTTGTGTAATGTCCGCCATCTCATCCAAGAGTATGTCCATCACTTCAACATTGCCAGCCACAGCGGCTAGGTGAAGTGGTGTGCTCCCAGACTCATCTTTTGCATTCGTATAGATGCGGATGTCGTTGGCATCACTAGAGGCGCGGAGAAGCTCCTGAACCACGTCTGGTTCCCCTGACGCCGCAGCATGATGTAGCGCCGAGCGGCCTTGCAAGTTTTCGATGAGGAGGTTCGAGTCGTGGGTAAGAAGCCTCTTCACTATCTGCAAGTCCCCGGCTGCGCACCCAAGAAGAAGCGGCGTGTCGCCATTCTCATCCTCTTCGCCGTACCAGCCGCCGTGCTCGAGAAGGATGTCGACCATGTCGACGAAGCCGCAGTCGCATGCCACATGGAGGGGACTCCGGAGACGGCTATTCAAGAGGCGGAGGGAAACCTTCTGTGTCTGATGCTCTAAACAAAGCTGAACGACGAGGGATGCATTACCACTGAGGACTGCCAGATGGATTGGAGCTTGGCCTGAAGAATTGGCGGCTCTGATGTTAGACTTGTAACGATGCTCCGAGTCCTGGGGCCATTGCCATTCGATGAGGGCTTTGAGCACATGGGCATGACCACCCTCGGCCGCCAGATGAAGCGGCATATCTCTAGGAGATTTCTTTTTCATGTCTTCTGTTTCTGTGGTGTCCATTCTAGATTCCATCTTGTCCAAAAGCTGCCGCACCACATCCACGTAGCCCCCGCGTGCGGCCAATCCCAACGGCGTGTAGCCGTCCTTGCCGCGTGTCGCCATTGCCTCGTGGAGAATATTCGCCGGGAGTTTCTCATAGTAACGTAGAATTAATCCCACAATGTCCTCCCGACCAGACGCAACGGCATGACTCAACGCTTTGGGATTTTTCTCAAGCTTGGCGCCCCGGTCGAGAAGTTTTTTGATTGCGTCATGTTGCTGAGAGTCGATGGCCATCATGAGACACTTCTGAACCAGCCAAGGTGATTTGCCGACAACGGCGGCGCAAGCTGGATGGGTGTCTGTATCCATATTTTCATCATCAGCCTTCTCCTTTCCGGTGAGAAGAGCCTCTATGACATCGACATGGCCAAACCGGCTGGCGAGCTGAAGAGGCACCAGTAGCTCGTCATTCGTGACGTTTGCGTTGTAACCTGCATTGAGCAGTTTTCTAACCACAGCATGGTAACCAAGGGAAGATGCCTGGTGCAAGGCTGTCCTGCCATATGGGGATATATACTCCTTTCCCATTTCCACTTGCGCCTGATCCTTCAATATTTGGTCCACCAACTCGTCTCGCCCACGCATGGCCGCGGCGTAGAGAATCACTCCGTGTCTGGCACCGGCTTCCCAGAGAAAATCAATAGCTGTCTCGCGTGTCGTTGTCAATCTAAGTCCCTGAGTGTGATCAAGGACCTCGGCGTTCCACTCGGGCTTTTCGAGCAGCGTTCGGGCAACATCGTTGCATCCAAGGCTAATTGCCACGTGAGCCGGGTTGCCGCGCTGCCATGTCGAATAGTCGACTTTTAGCTTGCACCACATTATATCGGACTTGGGTCTTTCCAGGAATGCGCACGCCTCATCTTGAAGGTCTGGAAAGGCATCATGTTTCGCCAAGTTGTAGTGTCGAAACCAATATTGGCCGGCATAGTCAAGGAAACCGTACTCGATCCCCTCTGGAGGCGTAAACAAGTTTTTACTGTCGAAAATAGGCGTCGATTCCTCCGTTGCCGAAGTCACCAAAGAGAGGTAGCGGAGACACAACCTCGCACAGTTCGCATGGTTAACCAACTTCGGACTTCTTTCTTGAGAACTGGATTGAGTTTGGATTAGAAAATCTCGAAAGCTGCTGTCAATAAAAAAGACGTTGTCATGTTGAATCTGGATCAAGTTTCCAAATACATTCTTGATCTTTGATTCGATATGCCCCTGTGGCAACCTTTGCAGTTCCAAGATTGACAAGGTGTCGTCTTGAAGAGCCATGGCCAAGGCAAGCTCGGTCACCTTCAATGGCTGAAACGCATGGACTATCCAAGAGAGCACATCTCTCGCCCACGATTGATTGTCTGTGGGTATGCTGTCCAAAAAGTGTTGATATATCTCAAATGTGGTGCGAGGTAGAGAGCTCAGCTGTGTTTCGAGCTCTGCATCTCCCCAGTTCGGCAGGCGTGCCTGCAGAAATTTTGCAATGAGTGAGATGTTGAAAACGTCATCAACAGCGCTCAGTTTCTCATTTATAATGCCGTCCAATTTTTCCAGTTCCGGCCTGGCCTCGAACAGCAAACGAGTCTCCCTGGCAACCACACTCTCTATTTCTTTCTTCTTCTCATCAGGGTCTTCATGTCTCTCCTGGATAACGTCGATCGCATGTGCTGCAAACTCGACATCAGAGTCGGGCGCCTTGTGGCTGGTGACGGCCAGCCTGAAGCCGCCAGCTGAGGTTTCCGAGCTCGCCAGTAGCAGCAGGTCTTTCAGGAACTTGTTGCTGGAAGGGTCGCACTCGTCTATCATGTTGATAAAGCAAAAGATGACGCCATGGCGCTTGGGTGGGCAGGATAGCAACGAGCGCAAGAAGGCCCATAGATGTTCGATTTTGAACTCGACCTCTGGGAACATAACACATGCATGGTAGAGATACCTGACGTGTTCAAAGAGGCCTGGTTTAAGAGTCAGCAGCTGGTGGCTCAGAGAAGCAAGCATTCCATAAGTCGATCGACAGCGGTCGTCTTGGGCATCGAAGGAATATTTGATGACGTTGGCGTCTGGAAATGTCGCACGCGCCTTCCTTTCCAAGACATCCATCGAGGCAGCCACGTCTGACTTGGCCATCCCATACAGCCACAATGGTCTGCACGCTGGCCCGATCCAGTTCTTGCAGGCGTCACGGTCGAGAATCCAGTTGAATTTCTCGGTACAGGAAGAGAGCTGGACATGCTGACCCAGAGAATGGTGTGAGTCGGCCCTCGATAAGACCATGAGGCAGCGAAAATAGGTGTCCTTTTGTGCTAAAAATGGGGTTGATTAGTAGAAACCTCTGGCAGTGGACTGGCTTGGATGACGAACCCTCCTCCCACTGGTCCATTAGGGTGAGAAATTTCACATATTTACCCCTATTCTCGCTCTCTTGGAGACAGTCACACACTTCCCCAGGGACTCCCATCGTTAGCGTGTCTTTGGAAAACGCCTACGGCCTTTACGTCAGACAAGATGTAATTGATGAATATGAGCTGGTTCGAACAAGAAGGGAGAAGCGGCACGGGGATGCTGCAACGTACCAAAGGTGTTGACCGCAATGCCTCCTCGTTGATACACTCATACAAATTAACAATAGGATATATTCTGGCCATGGCCTGAAAACTCTTGCTCAGCTTCATCAGTGTGTTAGCCAACTTCTCCGAAGCTGTGGAACTTGGGCAATCGCCCTGATCCTTCCTCCGCAGCAAAAGTTTTGTCGATATGCTCTCCCACGATTCGAATTCGGTAGCGCGGTGAGGAGTTTCAATGAATACCTAAGAGGATGGCGTCAGTGAAAAAGAAATGGATGCTTTGTTTCGAGGCTTACCAAGCAGGATATATTTTTTGCCATGGATAAATACTCCCAAGTGCTCACGGCAAGTAAGGCGGCCTGCTACCATGTCAGGTCGTGTTGGCCGCGAGGAAGTTCAGAGGGCACTGCACTTGTTTGATTACGAGCCCCCCAATGTCATAACCTATTAGACATAATGATGGACACTAGGAGTGAGATGCAAGTCAGCTGTAATTCAAAGCTCGTGCTGTGCGACCAGCCATCTCGGCATGGTAAGCCAGCTGAGGAATGCTGTGGTTGTTCACCCATCGTTGCTTCATTTCTTTCCGCATTCGCTCTAGAAGCCGAACAGCCGCCTGTTGAACACCTTCTGGCGTGATCCCTTCATCGAAATCCAAGGTATTTGCGAATTCTGTTATCTCGGGGGCTCCGTAACGCCTGGGCGATGACTTTTTTACCCACTTCACCATCTTTTCGCTGTCCCAGCCTTTGGGGCCCTCTCCAATTCCCCGAACTATGGCGACACTGCCAGAAGGCGTCAGCTCGCAGTTTCATCGGGTACGAGTATCACGGTCAGTCCGCACAAATGGGACCAGCCCAAGGTACACAGCGACTTACTGAAGGCTCCTCTCCTTCCTCTTCATGTCGCTCCATCCTGAGCTCGGGCTCATCGCTTCTCAACTGATCGCTGTAATGACGGACAATAGTGTAATCAATTCAATCTTTGGTAAAGCAAGATTTTTTGAACTGCCAGCTACCCAACAGTTGGGAATAGAACCAGATATATAACTGTAGGAGTTCTAGAGGTACTCGTTTCATGACTGACTCACGGGTCAACTGTCGGCCAGTACGTCTTTGAATGCGGGATGCGGCGAGGGACCGCACAATGTGGCAAGTGCTCGAGACCAGGATCTGACACATCTCTTTTTTCTTGCCTTGGCTGACATGGTCTTTTCATGGCCTTTATGCTATTCTATGTGAGGGACCACGGAAGGGGTCTACGAGCAAAGTCACAAGAGCTCGAGTGTGAAATGACAAGCGTGTATTGCAACAGAGCTAATAAAAGAGACCTTTGTGTGTGTGTTGAGGAGAGAAAAGGTAGCTAAAGCGTGCAGGCGTGGCAGTAAGCCTTGTAGTGCCTGGCACGTGACTGTGGGTCCCAACATTCTATGTGAGCTGTTACAGTCAGAGTGTATTGTTTGCATTAGGTACTGCAAGCTTGTTCTTTATACTCGCCAGGAAGCCCTATACTCCGTCTAAAATGACCAAATTTAGCTTTCAGGCGACCTATGGCAGCTACATGCAGGCAGATTGCACATGTATGGGAAATAAACAATTCCGGAATGGAATGGTTTGAAACTAAGCTCAGACCTCCCATCGGTACCATGGCTTCTGTTGTACTACCCCGAGTGGAGGGACCTCTGGCATTCGAGACTGCCATCTCTCTTTGTCCTTTGTAGCTCCGACACCTCCCTCTGGCCATCACAGCCAACAGATCGATTTGTCATGCGCTTCTCGTTTGTTCTATTTATTATCTGAGGCAAGACGATTTTTTTCCGCAAACGACCATCTAAATATAGCACTTCAGACTCCTAAAGGAGGCTGAATTTTCACTTGTTGAAGGTAATTTATGATGTCTCATTTATGGACACGTGAAACCTCGGTACAACATAATTTCGATGCCATAAAGCAACCTCTGATAGTGAAGATTGTTGTTAACGGCAAGATAATGTACATAGTTGATAGGATGTATTTTGGACTTGAACCGTGTTTTCAATATGACCCAACGCCCGTGTGAAGGCAACAGATGGAGTGGTTCCAAACACACTAGCAGGTTCATGAAGATCAATAATAGCAGATTACAGGATGACTACACGATGTGTCTCGTCAATTCTGACAGCTTCAACAAATCTCATACCGCTAGAGTGTTGCTCAAATCTAACAGCCTCAAGCAACCCCAGCTTGTCAATCATAAAAGCCCAGCTATGAGCTCACAGTCCAGCTGGCTGATAGACTGCCTGTTAATTTTAAATGAGGTTACACATATGAGCAGTCCACAGCTAGGATGCGGAAAAAGCACCTGTCAGCCCCTTCAGCTACTTATCCTTTCTTGTTGTATTGTAAGAGGTTTCATAAATAGTAGAGAGAAGAGGGTAGGTTGAGAGTGGGCCAATCTAGTCCGACTCAACCACGCTTACGACAGACTTGGTAAGCGCCTCTTAGCCCAGTAGGGAAGGCGGTAATACGGAGATAATATAGGCGGGAATGTAGATTTGCTGAGATTATAGTCGACCCAATAACGTGATCCGTCTCTCGACCCGCTCGTCACCACTTTGTTGACATTTATCTCATCATCCATCACCAACGCCTTGCTCCCGGAAAGCCCTGCTACTACATCATAGACGGTTTCTTGGCAATTACTTACAACTTGATGACTTGCACTTGCAGAGTTGATTCATTTTGCGCAGCTGGCGGGCGAGCATACTAGGCGACTTGACTCGGGTTGCTAGGCTGAGGAACTCTGGCAATTGGAAGGCCGAGCTTCAACACTCAACGTCCTAGCATGAAGATTACGCTTCGGAACTCCTGAGACTCCTCTCGAAACTAAGAGGCTCGCGTTGAACCATTTTTTAGCCTTGACTTTGGTGCTGAAGAGGAAATGGCTGCCGAGGGGAATCGAGCGCGTCATGCGCATGCAGGCACCGTTAATAACTCATGCGACCCTGAGCAGGAAATGACGGCAGACTCGCGGATACTGGTATGCCAAGTCACCAAGTCATCGATAATACTTGAGAAGATTTATTAATAATTTCATCAGGAGAGCCTTGGCTACAAACCCGTACGGTGACTGCTTTTGTTCACTTGGGCGAACCATATCTTACTTTTTCCAGGTCTTGCATCGCACATTCAACCTTTTCCACAACTTTGCCACTACTTTCGGTACGCAAGACTCACTACTATCCAGTCAACATGGTTGAATAACAAATGCAGCGGCCCTCTACTTCATCGGTGGTGTCCGCGTCACGTTTTCTACTGGCATTGCTGCCGGCGGCAACCTCGCCTACTGGTACAGTCACCAGCCCTCGCACAAAAACGTTTCTAACGGGACAAACAGGACAAGCTTCATAGTTACATGCGTCTTTACCTTCATCACCGCAGCTGTAATTGCGGAAATATGCTCCTCTCTCCCCTTGGCCGGCTCCATCTACCTGTGGGCAGCAGAGGCTGGCGGTCCACGCTTCGGGCGTCTCTTCGGCTTCGTTGTCGCCTGGTGGAGTACCACGGCCTGGACTACTTTCTGTGCAAGTGAGCTTGTCCCAGAGGACATGTCCTGTTGTGAAGAGATGGCACGGTTCTGACTCGTCTCCAGGCAACACCCAATCGGCCGTCAACTACATGCTCTCAGTAGGTTTCCAGCCGAGCCCTCCCCGCGGGTATACATACTGATACGCAAACAGGAAATCGTAGTCTTCGATCTCGACTTCCCGTCAGAAGCTTCGAGCGTCAAATTCCGAGCCGTGCAGTGGGTGGCGACCGAAATACTGCTCGCCTTGGCCGCAATTTGGAACCTCTTGCCCCGTCAGTCATTTCACGCCCTGTTCAAGGACCATGTTTATATGCTGACAGCCGCAGCGCGGTACTTCAAGTGGATCTTTTACCTGTCCACGTCGTCCGTCATAGTAGACTTTGTATTGAACATGGTCTGGCTTCCCATTGCCACCTCCAAAACATATGGCTTCCGTTCTGCACACGACGCATTCATGACCACGTATAATGGGACAGGGGCTCCAGCAGGGTGGAACTGGTGTCTGTCTTACCTAGCCACTGCTGGTATTTTGATCGGCTTCGACGCGTCCGGCCATGTTGCCGAAGAGACTCGCAATGCAAGCATGTCAGCAGCCCGAGGAATCTTCTGGAGCACAGTCGTCAGCGGAGTCGGCGGCTTCGTGGTTGTCATTCTGTTCCTATTCTGCGTGGTGAGTTTCTATATCCGCCTCTAGGAATCAGATGGCACTTGCTGACGAGTTTCTCAACAGCCGTCGTCGGACGTGTTTTTTAGCTTTGGCGGCGCACAACCGTTTGTGCCATTGTATGCGGCGATTCTCGGTGACGGCGGACACATCTTCATGAACATAATCTGCATTGTTGCTCTTTGGTTTGTAAGTTGGGCCGCGACGGTGCCGAAATATCAAGAAGAATCTAACAGGCTGCTCTAGAACACCGCCATTGCCGTCCTCGCTGCATCACGGCTCGTGTTCGCCGTTGCCCGTGACGGTGTATTGCCATTCTCACCTTGGGTATCCCAAGTGGTCGACGGGCAACCACGAAACGCCGTCATAGTCGTTTGGGCCGTGGCCTCCATCATCACCTGCACCATACTGCCGTCCTCGGTAGCGTTCACGTCTCTGGTCTCCGCTGCCGGCGTACCGTCTGCCGCGGCGTACGGGCTCATTTGCATTGGCCGGCTGTTTCTTACGCCTAACAATTTCCCCAGGGCTGCTTGGAGTCTGGGGCGCCTTAGCAAACCCTTCCAGGCCATTGCTATTCTATGGAACGGATGGGTGGTCGCTGTGCTTTACTCGCCGTATACGTTCCCCGTGTCCGCCGCTACATTCAACTATGCGCCAGTCATCATGGGTATCGTCACCATCTTTGCTTTGCTTTCGTGGTGGTTTATCCCGGCAGAGCGGTGGCTGCCCAGCGAGCGAATTCAGCAAACGCTCGATGCAAAGACGCCAGGCAGCCAGCAGAGTTTGTCAGAGGATCATGTGAATCCAAAATAGTACGAGTGTGTTTACTGTAAAGGCTTGCCAACATTCACGAATTAGGTTTCAACTAGCCATGAAATATACGTCTTCAACATGGTACACAGGCATTGCATGCTTGATCAATACTTGGCCTCAATCATTGTCGCCATCTAGATTACAACCACTTCACTCCAGCTATCTTTATTCCTACCATTGCATCTAACACCGGGACAGTTCATGCCAGCATCACCTTTCCTTGCTGGAATATCAAGCGGTGTCCCTTGCAAGCCGTCCACCTACTGTTCCCTTACATCATCGACACTCCTTTCGTACCGGTCAGATACTCACTGTATAATCAAAGTAAAATGGCCCTTCAAATGTGTGGTATTACAAAAACAGTAAATACAGCGGGAAGCAAAAGCCTTTATCCAGATCCAGCACCCTGCCATCGCGAACATACCACAGTATATTAGTGCATACGTCTCGGTGGGTAAATATATTCCGCCATAAACTCGAACCGTCATAAAACTACAATGTCAGCACCCTGCCAACAAGACATCATTCCCAGCAACTTCGTCCTCCGTCGCTCGAACCCCCCAGTCCCCAACCGCCTCTCATCCTTCACATGGCCTGCTTCTCAGGCTGATCATAGGAAGCACTCTCCACCTGTAGGGACCGGCCGCACCTACTACAGAACCTGTCTTGCGTGCCGCACTGCTTTCCACAGCCAGAGCAGAAGCATATGCCCGACTCGGCCGCAGACGTACTCCGGGGCCGTTGCGGAACAGCCCCCGGCTGGAGGTACGCCCCAGACCCAGATGGGTACTCATCACCGGCCATGTACATCGGAGGAGGACCGGGCGCAGGTTGCGCAATGGCCGGCGCAGGCTGCACAATAGCCGGAGCCGGAGAGCCCTGCTGGGCGCCCTGGCTCGCTTGTTGTTTGGCCAGGGCCTCGTTGACGGCCTGGTCGATGGCCTGTTGGTTCCTGGCCTGCTCCCTCTCTTCCTGGTTTCGTCGGAACTCGTATTCTTGTTGCATTTGAAACTGCCTCTGCGCCTCCATCTCGGACTGTTTCCTCGCCCCGTGCCTCGAGGCGACGGTGGCTGTTCCCGCGACAACAGCGGCCGTCAGGAACGGGGAGCGTCTTCTTCTTCCGAACATTGCGTGATGGCAGGTGGAAATAGATGCGACGGTGATGAATAGCTTTACTTGTGGATTTTTGTGAATGGTACTGCTGTCACAGTAGTCTTGTGCTTGAGTTTTGACGCGCTGGATCGACTTCGCTGGATGACTTGCGACGCAGCTACAAATGCTTTGCTATGCGCAGTTTTGACGGCTTTCCGGTGATACGTTTTGTCTTGATAAATACCGTCAAAGAGCCTGGCGCCAGTCTACTTATAGCTTGCTATAATTGACCTGGGGTAGCGGACAAATGAACCCAGTTGACGGCTTCAGCGGAACAAACGGCTTACGCCACGCCAAGCTGGTGTGAACTTTAATTCCACCAAGCCACCACATAGACGGCATGTATAGCGGGCCAGTTCAGAATGAGCATGCCCAGTGTTGGTTTTGCATAGTTGATGGAGGCGCCTGATCAAGCATGCCTTGAATAGTGCGAAAGTGAAACGACGTTGCTATGGCCAGCGCCTTAGGCCTCCGGACGTTGTCAAACACAATGCCGCAAGTAACTCATCTTGGGTAACGATAGTATCATGACAATGGCGGAGGTGGCTTCTCGCAACACCAGTTAGATGTGGCAGAATATGGGCGGCGGCTGCGCCTCTGCATGAGACCACCACTAGTCCCTCCCAAAGCCACCGCGCGAGGCCCAAGGCTGTCAGATGCTTGGCAGGCGTTGAATGTTCGTATAGGAAACGGCCTGAAAGTATGCCTACGGAGAGTCGGGGTTGGTCATTTCTCCGCCGATGGCTTACTACTCTACCAAGATTGAGTAATAACGATAGAATGTCAGCCGCTGCTATGGAAGCAAGATGCAGAACAAATCGAGAGAACAAAATTGCAACATGTAAACATTTTTTATGATGACTACAAATTGCTGTACTCTTTCGCGTTTATTAACAGTTCCGAGGCTTGATTGTGGTGCTCTCCAGTCAGATGCTCATATTCGCATATGATTCCTCCCATGTATAGAGTCCCGAGCCTACATATGCCTCTTCTAAACAGACTACGTTCTTTATTATACTCCTCTTCTTAACTAGCATTCTGTTCCAGAAACAGCATATATAGTCCAAGCGCCATATTCGTCGCAGTCGAAGCGGGAACGTACGCAATGCTAGCCTCACATACTTGACGAGGATGGCTTTTTGGAGAATCACTAAATGTATGGGGAAGTTTGGCAGCGGTGATGTGGGCGTATAAAATTTACCCATACTAAAATACTGCTCCCATCAGAGATTCTCCTCTAAATCGGAACCAACAGCCCATGCATGTCGTTTAGTGTTTGCTAAGCAAGATCCAGGCTATTCACTCTTCCTGCTATTCCCTCATCGTCCTAATGCGGGTGGGTGAGGACGGCAACTCCATGAGAGGGGCCGAGGCCATCATGACCAACAGATCTGACGTTGCAGGTGGGACAACGAAGCGCAAGGACCAACAAATGTCTCATATTATAGTTATTATTATTGAATCGCTTTAGGCAAGTCACAAAAAGACACCAGACACACTGCTTTGCAGTGCAACAGGGGTGCCCCGAAAATTGCCGAGTTGTCCGTGAGCTGTGACGGACACAACACTCGAAGTAAACGCCGCCGGTGTGCGACCCGCGTGATATGGACCTAGAGATTAACTTTTAATAATCTTCTTGCCAACTACCTTCAGAGATGGCTAGTCGGTTGTAAGCTTCCCTCATCACGCACCGGCATAAAAGAAGAAAGAACAACACGGGTCTATTTTCTATGAAGAATCCGCAGCAAGGTTGCAAAGCTGACCAGCCTCTGGGGCACACATGAGTGATAATTTTAAATATGCTCCAGGACCTCTGTGTCGAGTATAAAAACTAAATATACTCTGCAAGAACCTCCCTCAGTTGATCGACCGTCAGGGGCCTCGAACCCGGGGTCGTCGCGCGTTCATCACCCAGAGGCAGCAGAACCCTATCAATAACATGCACTGCTCCATTCACCGCACAGTGATCTTGAGAAGTAACCCTAGCAAACTGATTGACCAGCATAGAGACGAGTCCTCTAAACCGATAAAAGGCCACAGTCACGCAAAAGTCTCCGCCTTGCTTATCGCTCGCCAGAGACGCAAAGGTATAACAAACCTTGCCTTTGATCGTCCTCGGTACATGGGACGAGGTCCATCTCTCCTCCGTGTCGTTCTTTGGCCAGATGAAGTTGCAAAAGACGGTAACTTGAGGCAAGATGTGCATCTTCAGCAGCGCAAGCATATAAGGACGGCCCTGTTCCGTCTTGGACAGGAAGTTCACGACGTCGCTGCCAAGCTCGCCAAAGGCCTCGTCAGAGGGCAGAAACAGGGTCTGTGCCTGCGTAGTCGAAATGAGCTCTTCATGGCTGAGCTGACGGATCGCCTCTGATGCAAAGCAGAGGTCTCGCCTGCCCTGCACGACAGAGTCAACCTGTGGAGGTGGTGGACACGGCCGTTGAATGAGGTGAGCAATTCCATTTCGTGCCACCATGTTGCTCTTGACGATGCGGTTGCATCTGTTGATCCACCAGCCAGAGGAGCCAAATGAGGATTGAAGCACGGGTCTCCTGTTGGATGCTCCCGTCCTCAGTAATGTAGGCAGATTCGGCCAGTCTTTGAGAACTGTCGTGCTGAGGTAGTGAGGGGAAATATGCATTGCCAGCATATTCTCATCACACTGCATCTTGTCGCTTTCGGTCCAGCCGGCGTCTACTGGTATAAAAACGGTGTATTCGCCATTTGTTAGTCAGATGGTCTCTCGAGCAGTCCATGGAGACTGTGGGAGCCTCCCCGTCCAGCCGGTTGTAAAGCCGTTCTAGCTCGTCGAGTTCCAGCGGCAATGTCGACTGTTGCTCCATGATGCAAGACGCGTAATAAAGAGTGGAATGAAAAGGCGGAGGGTTCAGGGTATTGATGATATATACTTGCTCCAATGGACAAGGTCACTGAGTGGCTTGGAGCTGGCGAGTTGGTTGAACCGCTTGGTGCAGCACGCCTCATGCAGAACCAAAGGAAAGCCTGACTGGAAATGGCAACTGTGACTTTTGTTGTCTGGTGCTTGCATCGAGCAGGGCAAATGTCATGGCATGACCAACAACAGGGACGGCCTATCTCCAAGGCTGACCATCTCCAACATGAGGTAGTAAAACCATAGTTGGGGCTGCGCGTATTATCATGGTAGTATGTTTAAAAGGTAAAAGAAAAAAAGAAAAGGGGTTTCAAATAACTTACATCAAGGGAGCAAAGGACCTTCAAGCATGCCCGTGCGGGTTCCTCGGCTGCATGGTGTATGTACGTCGATGCTGAACAAAGTGTGACGAAGCTGCTTTGTTGCAGTCACGATAAGTTAACGCAGGGATATTGCAGTTGGCATACATGCCTTTGGCCTGTATAGTGTTGAACATGAAACAGC